AATCCTAGATATCTTATTTGTGTATCAGAAGCACAGCATGAAGGAGAAGGGCAAAGAGCATTCGTATGGGCAAAGAGCAGAAATTTCTGCTGCCACAGAGGGTGGAAACAGGAAGTGATGGTGATGGCCTCACTATTTAGCTCCAAAGCAGCCTTTAAATCATTTGGTTTTACAAGGTGAATTCATTTAAATAATAGAATTTGTTTAAATAATTTAAAAAGAGTAATAACAAAAAGGGGCATTATACCCACTTCTTAAACAGCACACCACTAATTTGGCTAAATATTAAATGAAGCAAGCTGACAGCCCCAGGGAAAATTCAGATGCCTGCTTTCATCCAAATTGTCTATAAGTGCACAATAGTTCTCATTGTCATATTAGGAAAATTGGGGAGAAAAAATAGATCTAATTTTCTATTCTTGTTACCATGTTGCTCAGAATCCCTGAGTAGCTTCTCAGTTTTACTCTAGATATGAGATGAAAATTTCTAGCCAGGCCTTCAAAATTGCACATCTGGCTTGCCTTTCTTGCTTTTTCTCAACTCCTTTAGCACCCCATCGGGGGCCTCTTCTACAGCACCAACAACTTCCCTGTAACATCCTGAGGTCCAATTTTCAAATCTTTCTATTCACTGGGTGCACACCCTGTCCAGGTACTCAAACAACCCCAGAGTTTTGCCCAGGTGCCTTGCATGCACTGGAGTCTCTGAATTTCTCAGCATGTCTGCTCCTCTCCTACCCAGGATCAGGTTAGTGTTTTGGAAGATCATCCTGACAAGAGTTTTGTGAATGGAAGGCTGGGTAGGAGATGATGTAGCAGAGGGTATTGGTAGGGGGAAATACAGCAGGTGGGATGGAAAGGAGTGCCAGGAGTTGCTTCTCTACATTTTGGGAAGTTAGAGAAAAGATAACTTAGATCCCAATTCAGTATGAAAAGTGAAGGTGAAAAGGGGATATGTTTTTTGGATTCTGTGCATTTTCATTTACTCATATCACCTATTAATTATCCACATGTATTAATGGAAATGCTTCATCTTTTTTACTTTGGTCATCTTTAATAATAATTTACAGAGTATTGTATATATACATGTATATGTGTGTGTGTGTGTGTGTGTATGTAGGCATACATACATTCATCTGTATATATATATTCATATGTTTATACAAAGGTTATCTATACTTACCATATTACATTTTTAGAAGCACAAGTGTTATCATTAGGTTGATGTCTGACTAATTAAATGAAGATATAGTCTTACTATAAAAATGAAAATTACTTGCAGATTATAATTTTCTTCTCTTTTAAAGAACCATGTGTTGCTGGGGTAAGGACAGGAAATGCTGTTACCTCCCAAGACACAGATGAAGACCCACTATAGAGAAGAAAAAGGGAGAAAGCCTTCTGCCCAAGGGGAAGATCAGGGAATCTTCCTGGGCTCAGACTTGGAGGATAGGACCACTGAAAAAGCACTCTCTTGTTCCAAGATCTGGGTCATAGGGTTTGTGTAAGTCAAACAGGTCAACAGAATTCCCACCTTCCACCCTTTACCCCACCAGGCCAACAAGCACCAGGGAGTAACAAACAACTGCAGACTATTTTTAAAGAAGTGCCAAAAATATGGAGACAGACCCTCTCACAAGTGTAGGTGTACAAACAATGCCTAAAGCTGAGGGTGGAGCAGAAACATTGAAAACGCCCACTGGCACCCCGACCCTAAACATAAGGTCACACAAGAGGAATTTGAAGCAGTGCAGTAGAAGTAACTTTAGTGACAGCAATACTGAGTTCAATTCCTGACTAGATTGACTCAACTACACATGCTAATGGGCTGGCAGAGAAGAGGCATGACCATTTCTCAGCATGAATTCAATTTACCTCAGTCTCATGAGGTGCTTTGTATGCTACGTAGGATTTTGGCTTTTACTTTCACTGTGATTGGAAACCATTGGAGCGCTTTCAATATTGTGAGTTTTAAAGGGATATGTCTGGATTCTGAATTGGAAGCAGACAGAGGAAGGAAGGTGAAAAAGCAGGAGATGAGTTAAGAGGCTTTTATGGTCATCCAGGTGAGAGATGCTTTATGATTTCTAGTAGTAGCAATGGAGGTGGTGAGACAAGCTCAGTCCCAGATCTATCTTGAAGGTAGAGCCAATAGGATTTGATAATGGATTGAGAGGTAGGGTAGAAAGAGAAATGAGAATAGTAACTCCAAGATTTGTAGCCTAAACAGCCAGAAGAGTAAGTTGATCATTAATGCATGAAGGAATATGGAAGGAGGGACAGATGGGAAAAATATAAGCAGGCATTTGGGTTTGGCGATATTGAACATGAGAAGCCTATTAGACATCACAATGAAGCTAATGCGTAGAGAGTTGAAGATAGGAGCCTCAGTTCAAGGGAGACAGTGGGCGGGGGATTAAATTTGGAAGGTGTCAGCAATTAGATGGTGTATGAACCAGTGAGACTAGATTGCATCATCTAGGGAGTATCAGTGGGGAAGAGAAGAAGCTCAAGGACCGAGCCTTGGGTTCTCCAACATTCAGAGGTAGCAGAAATAAGGAGAAACCAGCAAAGGAGATAGAGAACAAATAGCCAGTGAGGTAGGAAGAAAACCAAGAAAGCAATGTCCTCCTAGGCAGTTGAATAATGCTTTAAAAAGGGAGTGGTCATCTCTATTAAATGCTGCTAAGAGAGAGATGTGAGGACTGAAATTCTATTTTATGGCTTTAATTCTTTGTGATATTAGGGTAAAAAGGTTTTCCAGTTTGTTGGCTTAAAATAAAATTTTCAGGGGTGTCTGGGTGACTCACTTGGTTGAGCATCCTACTTTGGCTCAGGTTGTGATCTCACAGTTCATGAGTTCAAGCCCCACATTGGGCTCACTGCTGTCAGCTCAGAGCCCAATTTGGATCCTCATTTCCCCTCTCTCTGCCCCTACCTTGCTTGCTCTCATTTTCTCTCTCTCAAAATTAACCATTAAATACTTCTTAAATAGAATAAATAAATAAAAATTTTAAAGATATTTTGACATTAAAAAGTTATAAATTTTAAGTAATAAATTATATTGAATATTTTCTAGTTTCTTTTGATTTTTAACTTAGAACAATCTTTTTCATACAGAAATTAGAAATTATATTTTATTCTAGTTTTTATAGATTATTATATTTCAATATTTGTAAATAGCTTTAATTCTAACATCAGAGAGATACATCATGATTTAATTAACAATTTGCTTAATGTTGAAAATTTATATTTCAAATTTTTATTGATACAAAAAATCCCATAAAGATTTTTTTTATGTCATTTTACCTCTCTCCATCTTCCAGAGCATAATTTTTTAAAGGTTTATTTATTTATTTTTTGAGAGAGAGAAAATGAGAGAAAACGAGAGAGAGAGAGAGAGAGAATAAGAAGAGGAAGGGCAAAGAGAGAGGGAGAGAGTAATCCCAAGCAGGCTCTGTGCTGTCAGCGTCAAGCCTGACATGGAACTCGAGCTCACAGACTGTGAGATCATGAGCTGAGCCGAAACCAACAGTGAGACATTTAACTGACTGAGCCACCCAGACACCCCAAAGAGCATAATTTTTAATATGACTCATCAGAGTATAGATAAATAAAAGTTTTCATTGTATATTATCTCTAGAAAGACACAGGTACTAAAATTTGAATGTATGTCACAAGTATAGAATAATTTTGTCTTAGTTTTTCTTGCATTAACTCCAAAGGAAACTATGCAGACAAAAAATCAAAAATAGCCTTCTCTCCATATTAAATGCACTCCATTTATGTTATAACAATGCCTTTAATAATAAAAAATAGCCCAACTTCAAAACCAGTGATAAAAAAATACCATAAAGACTTAAAGGCAAGGAATATATTACCTACATTTTTAAAGATATCTTTTGGGAATATGCTTACATGCAAAAGCCATAAAATTATTTAAAAAGTATAACGTTCTGAGGTTGCATTCACATTCTGTGGAAAGGAAAAGAAAAAAGAAAAAAAGACATAACATTTAAAATACTTACTTTCTGAATCTCTCAGACCTGAAGTTTAAGAAATTTACTTACTAATTCAACAAATATTTTTTGAGTATCTCTTTGTTCATTCCAGGAATTGTTGTAGGTGCTAGTGCTACAGTAAACAAATGGGGGGAGTGAGGAATCCTGGGGGAGACAGAGCAATAAACTCATGTCTTTTGCCAGTGTCTCTGAAACTAAGCAAGCTAACTTTTTAGCTTGCAAGAAGAATAAAATCTCAGCTCCTTCGCAATTATTACAGATAAATGAGTTTCAAATCTGGCAAATTTATTTAAGCCTTTTTAACCACCAGCAAGTTGACATGTAACACATTTTAAGGAGAAAATCTTGCAATTAGATCAAGTTATATATGTCAAATATTTACATGTCTCTCTATATATATTTATACACACACACATATAGACATGTCTATGTCTATGTATCACCCAATAAGAATTTATTATGGTGAATAATTGAAGTGTTGAGTCTATTGAAAAGAGATAAAGAAGGTGTATTCATTTCTAGGGCTGCCATGACAGCCTATAAATATCACAGACAGGGTGGCTTAGATAACAGAAGTTTATCTTCTCATAGTTCTGGAGGCTAGAAGTTCAAGATCAAGGTGTCACCAGATTTGAGTTCTTCAGAGATCTTTCTCCTTGGGTTGCAGAGAGCTGCCTTCTTGTGTCTTCGCATGGTCACTCCTCAGTCTGTGTGTTTTTTGTTGAACACCAGTCATATTGGATTGGGCCCATCCATATGATCTCATTTTACCTTAATTATCTCTTTAAAGCCCTAACTCACTTCCAGTTTCCAGTCTGGCATGTAAGAAGCTTAGATGTTTCCTAGCAAAAAATAAAAAGCTGAACAATCTAAAAAATCAGCCATTCTTAGATCATTAAGAGCAGTGAGGTCACAGGGCAAGCCACTGTCACTAAGACTGAAGAACTGACAGGTAAATACTGAGAATCACAACTTATCAGGGCTTGTGTCACCATGGGAAGCAGTGCTGGGATGGGGAAATCTGAAGTGTAATGGAAAAATTGTTGGAGGCTAATTGTGGACAAGTCTGAGAAATGAAAACTCCAGGGGGAGCAAGGTATTGTGTCCCCCACCCTGCCTCACACACACACTTTTGTGAGTTGTATCTTTCAGAGCTCTACCAATTTTCACACTGACTACCAGAGATAATTCCTCTCATTCTTCTAACAGAAGAAGAGGAAGATGAACCATTTTGAAATATACCAGAGCACTCTATTCTCCTTAACAAGATCTACCCTCAGGGGAAGGTATTTAACCAGAGCCTAAGCTCCTGAGGTTTTATCACAGCCTAATCCATGTGGGGAAAACGAAATATCCAATGACAGCTGTCTAGATTTCCAGGTCAGAGAAGAGAAATACCCTATTCTAGCTCACTCTAGCCATCCTGGCCCAACTTAAGTGAGAGGGTATGAAAAGCATATGTGAAGTTCCAGTCCGAGAAACATTTGTTCACAAAACTGACACCTAATGAAAGGACTAATCCCTCTCGCCACACCTCACCACTGTAGCACTTTCTTTTATCCAGCACATCATGCCAGGCTGTCAAGAGAATATTATAAGGCCCAATTCTAAATATAGTCACATTCTGAGGTATGAGGAGTTAGAACTTCAATATATGAATTTTAGGGGTAGGGGACATAATTCAGGCCATAAAAGAAGAAAATAAGTATTTGATTTAGTTTACGCTAATAAACTGGCTTTTCATAAATTATTTCATTAGAAAGATACTTATGCCTGGTGGACTCTTATTATTTACTAGAGACATCTTTATTTAGTGTCCCTTCAATTGCACACTACAGACATGTTAATTAAATACATAATAGAAATATTAGTCACCATAATAATGGGGTTGGGGTGAGCAGAAATTGGAAAATGTGATCATGTTCTTTATTTAAGTTTACATTGGTATATAGGCCCTTAGGAAAAACAAATTTCTCTCTTCCAATCTTTCTGCTTCATTAACTTTTCAAATGTCACATGTCATTGCCAATAATTGGATACAGGATATAACTCTTTCAAACTAGTAGATTAAAAGTGGCAAGTGCAAAGTACTTCATTGTATTTTAATTCTCTTCTTCCTGAGGTTACACACTTTGGAAGAGGACTCTGAGAATCTGTTATGGTTTGAGGTTTTGGTAATTGGCTTGAACTCTTGGCTATTGGCAATCTCTTTGTTTATTGAGGAGAAACTTTAACCCAACTTTAATTGGCCACCATAAGCTTGCCCTTTTATTTGTAAATAGTGGCTTATGCTGGGAGAGATGGTAATTCAATAGGGTTCAGAACCTTCTCTTTTCTCAAGACAGGCTTGTTTGCAATTAGAAACTTGATTTTAAGTTGGATAGTACTAACAGTACAGCCTTTCTGCAGAGCTCTACAGTGGCAAGCCGAGTGCTCTTTAAAAAAGTGGTTCTTAATGAGAACTTGACCCTACTCCTGGGTGGCTTTGTTAGGAAATGAATTCTTGTAGTTGAGAAGAATCCAGAAACACTTCTGTAAGGAGGAAGGAAGGCCACATTCTGGAGGTTTCAGTCTCTTCTGGCAGAACTAAACTCAAGTGTTTAAACAACTTGAAAACAGTCCCAAATTTCTTCACTTATTCTCTAAGAGTCTCTCACCACCATTTCCTCCTCCTCCCTCCCTTCCTTCCTTCCTTCCTTCCTTCCTTCCTTCCTTCCTTCCTTCCTTCCTTCCTTCTTTCTTTCTCTCATGTTTCACTTATTTTTGAGAGACAGAGGCAGAGTGCAAGCAGGGGAGGGGCAGAGAGGGAGACACAGAATCTAAAGCAGCATCCAGGGTCTGAGCTTTCAACACAGAGCCCGATGCGGGACTCCAACTCACGAACCATGAGATCATGACCTGAGCTGAAGTTGGATGCTTAACTGACTGAGCCACCCAGGCACCCCTACATCACCATCATTTCTACCCAAAACACAGGAATATAGATGTAATTCTATACTCCAGATTAGTCTTGGACATATTGGAGCCAGCTCTCCAAGTTAGATTTATAAATTAAATGCCAAGGATGACCATGGGCTGCAACAATAAAACACTAATCAAGTGATGAGGGAGCATAAGGTGAGCTGAGGGCAAAGCACAAGCTAACCACACTCTCTGACCCCAGGTGGGATATGTGTGATATTCCTCAGGCACTCCTGGATGCCCAAGAACAAAACAAATGGTTAACTGATAGAGATCACAGTCAAGCAAGAGATGAGTTTCCATCAGTTTACAAATATCTTAGTTATCAAAAGCATAATCTCCAGAAACGTATAGACTCAGTTTCCTGGAGCCCCAACATCACCCCTCCATAGTGATGTGGGAAACAAAGGCAAGAAGTAAATGACAGATAAAATTAAATGTCCTCATAACCTTCAGCCCATTGACAAATAATGGAGGCAAATACAGAGTATAACATTTATCAAGAAATGTCCTACTGTCCTAATGTTAATGCTTACTAGAGGGCAAACAACCTTAGCTTGACAATAGCAATGCTCCTGGCATCTTATGATTCCTCTTAACATACCAAAGTCCTTCTGGAGGCCATAAAAGTCCTTGTGAAAGCCTCCCTTTTGCCTTTACCTCCCCCAACTCCATACTATATAACCAGTCACTCTTTACAACTCCAGTGCAGCTATTTCTGCCCATGGCTCCTGTCCCTGTGCTTTAATAAAATCACTTTTTTTTTTTGCACCAAAGACATCAGCTCTGAACCCCTATCACTCCAAAACCCCATCAAACTGCATATCTAAACATACAACTAGACTAAAGTAATTAAATACATTAAAACTTTGGATTATGAGCAACTTGTTCTCCACTATTCTAACTTGATAAACAAGCCATGTCTTGTAATACAACAGTACACGATGCCAAATGTCACATGATCACAACTGAGCCAATGATTCTTGAAATTCGCTTTGATACATAAGTGCTTTGGATTACAAGCATGTTTCTGGAATGAATTATGTTCATGAGCCAAAGTTTTACTGTATATCATCCCACTTCACTTTGGAAACTATGAGAATATACATGTCTGCTCAATTATAGGCACTATAGCAACCTAGGAGCATACATAAGGCAGCCTTTTTAGGGAGTCTTGTAATGAATGATAAGTGTCGGTTTTGAGAACTTTCAGCAAAATTTGATTGATAAATCAAATAGAGGAAAGAGGCAGCTTGGTTGAAAGATGGGATTGGGATGAGTAAATACACATTATTAAATACCTATAGAATCAATTTGGAAAAACATGAGTTTTCTTTTTGTTCTCTTCAACATTTTGAGTATCTGTCTCTTCATGGAGGCAGATGATCTACAGCTGAGTTCTGAAAGTTCTCTGAGCTGCATGAGTGAGGCGTGTCCCTGTTTGTGTTCCTTCCCTTTATTGTTTGGCGTTCTCTTTTACACATGAACCCTGGATCCTGTGAGGCTGAGCTCCAGAATTCATGCCCACAGTACCTCACTGAATGTCCTCTCAGGTGTTTCATATATACAATTTCTTAAGCATATCATTAATTCTTAACCCATAAGGTAATAGAAAAGATTTTATTTTTCCACCTTGCTGATGATGTGGAAAATGTTGAGGTTCGGAGCTGATGGCAACAAGGGATTCTTGAGACATCTTCAGTGCAAAAAGAGGGTTTTATTAAAATAGGGGGACAGAGGGGCGCCTGGGTGGCTTAGTCGGTTAAGCGTCCGACTTTCACTTAGGTCATGATCTTGCGGTTCGTGGGTTTGAGCCCCGCGTCGGGCTCTGTGCTGACAGCCAGCTCAGAGCCTGGAGCCTGTTTCAGAGTCTGTGTCTCCCTCTCTCTCTGACCCTCCCCTGCTCACACTGTCTCTCTCTCTCTCCTAGAAATAAATAAAATATATATATATATATAAAAAAAATAAAATAGGGGGACAGGACCTGTGGGCAGAAAGAGCTGCACTTGGGTTGTGAGAGGTGACTGATCATATAAGATTTTCTATCATATGAAGGGGAGGGTGGTGTAAGGGTCCCAGGAAACTGAATCTATTGGTTTCTAGAAGTTTGACCATTGATATAATTGCTTTTTTTCTTGTAAGTCATTAAGACAGTTGTAAAGTGATAGAGACTCTGGCCTGCAGGACTGTTATCTCTATCAGTTAACCCCTTGTTTTTCTTCTAGCAAAGTATTAACATTAAGACAATTGGGCATTCTGAAAGAATGTCACTTTGCTGTTTCAAGGACTTGTTAATGGATTGTAAGTTGTAAAGAATTTAATTTTTTCTCTTTTGCCTTTGTTTACCATTATCATAGATGAAGAAACAAAATCCCACATGTTACACAGCTGTGTAAACTTTAAATCCATTGCTATTTCCATTTTTTCATGTATAGCCTTTGCTTGATCCCTCTGGATCTTTTTCACGCTGGGGTCAGTCTAAAACATACAGCTGATAGGACAATGTGTTGTCCCTCACGCCCAACAGTTGCATTTAAAAAAAATTTTTAATGTTTATTTTTGAGAGACAGCGGGGGGCGGGGTGGGGAGCAGAGAGAGAGAGGGAGACACAGAATTTGAAGCAGGCTCCAGTCTCTGAGCTGTCAGCACAGAGCCCGACGTGGGGCTTGAACCCAGGAACTGTGAGATCATAACCTGAACTGAAGTCTGGCACTTAACTGACTGAGCCACCTAGGCATCCCAACAGTTGCGTATTTAACAGGAGTATTGGATATCTTTATGTAAAAGAAATGATTATCAGTGAGATTGCTAGACCACTTGCATGTTAATGTAATTTCTGGGTATAATAGAGCAGAAGTCTCCTTAGCTTGCTGCCCCAGCATTAAAAATTGAGTTATTCCTGAGATTGTAAATATGTAACGGAACCTGGTCTGGATCACCCGACAGAGGAACCAAGCAGCACTCAAAGATCATGGAAGGCAGGATGTTTATTTTACACGGGTGGGCTCAGAGGAGATCATTCCCAAGGTCTGAGTCCCAAGCAGAAGCAAAGGGGACAATTTATAGTCTGTTACTTCCGCATTCTGCGTGAGTAGTAATTTGGCGGGCGAAGCAAGCCAGGTGGGAAGAAAAACCCTGAAGGGGAGTCTTCGGTCAGGGATAGGAATTTCCCTATCAGTTTTGTCAGCCATCTTATAACAGCAGATTTTTCCCTATCAAATAAAAAGCTAAATGTGGAGTGTCCCATCTTCTCAGACTTTTGGTGGCAGGGTGCACTACTAACTGCAGAGGAAAGCCACAGATAAAGCCATTATAACAAAACCTCACAGAAGGGCAGTGCTAGAAGGCACCTTAGCAGCCATCCAGCCTGGAGACTCACTCAAGGTCAAGGAAGCTGAGGCCAAGTGGGGGGCTGAGGGTGGGGTGGAGATCCTGCCCAAATCTAATGATCAGCTGGCAGGAGAGCTGAGGTTAGGGCCCGGGTGTCTCTCTTCATGTTTTATTGGAATTCTCACAGCTGACACATTTGTACCTAAATTCAGAATAAATTTCTACTCTGTGAGATGCTTGTACAAATAGAATTAGAAAGTAATGAAGATGTTAATAAAAACCAGGCTCTGCCAAGGAGAGCTAACATAGCATTACTTCAGATATATGTGTACATTAACCTAGAAAGGCACATTCCATGGCTGAGTAAAAAGGATTTGCAAATGACAGAGTTCAAACAGGCTTATTGTCTGAAAAAGAACACAGTGCACTATTTTGAGTCTTGCCTGCAAGCAGGATGCATATTTCAATTAGTCAATCAGCAAGTGATCATCAAGCACTGTATGGGCCCAGTGCTGTGCAAAGCCTCATGAAGGATGCTAAGAAGGGTTCCCACCCACAGGGAGATTTAATGTGGTTGGGAGTCATAACTAATGCCCACAAAATAATTAGAAGCAATTAAATACAACATAGAATGGTGTTGACTCAAACTTCAACAGATGAAATCTGGATGTTCAGTCCTCTCCTACCCCCTTTCCTACAATCACAACTTTAGCTGTGTTTGCTCAATAAGCAAAATGGGGAAATGTCAGCAATTTCTTGCTCAGGTAGGATGACATTGTGTGGGAACAATTCTTGGCACAGAAAGTAAGATCCCTGGTCTAAACTCAGAACTAGCTCTTTCTCCAGCCCAACCTTGTATATTTTAGTTATTCTGTCTTATATTTATATAAGACTTATATATTTAGCTTTTCTGTATTTATATATTTAGCTATTCTGTACCAAACTCTCTTGCTGTAATCAACATCAACCTTTTTATTTATTTTAATTATTTTTTAATAATTAAACATTAAAAATTGTTTACTTATTTATTTTAGAGACAGAAAGAGAGAGAGTACACATTCAAATGGGGGAGGGGTAGAGACAGAAGGAGAGAAAGAATCCCAGGGACAGAAAGAGATGTGGGGGTTGGTCCCACAAATCATGAGATTACAACCTGAGCCAAAACTAAGAGTTGACACTTAACCCACTGAGCCACCCAGGCACACCAAGGTCAATCTGTTTTAAGGTTTGAACTTGTTTTGTCTTATAGCTTGCATCTGGCTTGTCCCTTTGGAGACCTTTCATAAAAGATGAATCTCTTGACTGGATTTCTGGCATGGCCTTCTACTGGAGCCTCAGTGCTATTCTTTTGATTCTGATGGTGACCTCTTCAACAGGGACAGTTTACATCCATCCAGTGGATGAGTTCTCTTCACTTATGGGAACAGTCAAGCCTCTAGCATGTCACCAAAATGCTTACCTGTGGGTCTGGGATTTCTTTGCAAAAAGCATCTGACTATTCATTCAATCCTTCATGTATTCATTTTTCAAACAACTCTCAAGGAGTTACTAACCTGGGTACTATGCTAGATGTCAGAGCTACAGAAACATTGAAATATGGTTCCTGCCTCAAGGTGCTTGTTCTCAGTCTAGTGTGGGAGACTGATAATAATACAGGGTAGTATGACGTGTTGAGTTAGAGTTTTGGGAGATGTAATCATAGGGCACTTTGGAAACACAGCTGTGGAATGCTGGTCCAGACTGGGAAGGTGTATGTGTCAAAGGTGGCATGGGATGGGGTGTCAGAAAAGCTTCTGAGCAGAGCTGACATAGCAAATAACACCTGCTGAAATTGTTGAGTGACCATGAAGGTTTTTTAGTTTTAGTTTTAGGTTTTTTTTTTTTTTTATCACAGAGCCCTGGAGGGCCCACACACATCTTTGTATTTGGGGATGAGTCACTTTACTCCTTGAAATCTCAACTGGATTGTTTTGAGTAGGTGCAGGGTTAACAGACATGACTCTATAAAATGTTAGCAAGAGGAAGACCTTTATGGAAAATGCCTAGCATTTTTCTGGAAGTATCTCAGAAACCACCAAGGAATGCTTATTCCTACTCAAGCCACTACCAGGGGGGGAAGCAAAAAAGGATCTGAAGAGATGCAGATGTTGTGAATATGTGTACTTCTCTGAAGAGGCAATTAATGCACATTGGACAGCATTCAAAATGTACAAGAAATTATATGGTATGAGAAGACCCTAATTCCCTCTCTGGTCCCCCATCCCCTAATACTCTTCTGGGAGGTGTGAGAAATAAGTTCACTGCCCCAATCAAAGGAGGGATGCAGAGACTCAGAGCACAATAAGGTGAGGCTTTAATCAACATTCTTGCAATAGTGGGTGTTGATGGATAGGCACACTGGGAGCAGTTACAGCAGACAATTTATCTCCTAGCATGAGTCCTCCTATGGTTCCTCATTCGCTGAGTACTACAGAGGTTACAGCCTTAACCCAGAAGTCGTCTATGGCCCTGTAAGGCCAAAAAGGAGTCTGATTGGAATAAATATACATTCCTTGAGGTAATGCAGAGACATCAGCTCTTTGGTATATGTTCATTGCAAAGCCCACAAAACATAACCCTGCATAAATCATGGGATTTAGCCCCACAAAAGGCTCCAAGCTAAGTATAGAGTCTACTTGAGAGCCTGTCTCTCTCCCTCTATGCCCATCTTCCTGGTTCATGTGTAGTCTCTTGCTCTCTCTCTCTCTCTCTCAAATAAAATTTTAAAATATGAAAAAAATTATATTTGCTTGTTTATAATTTTGTATTTTGTTGCTTGTCAGATATAATGAACCAAGACTCCCACTCCAACAGAGTCCTGTACCTTACTAAAGGGAGGCCTAAAGTCATTCTTGGGTCCTCTATTCTATAATTTTGAGTCAATGTTTTATAAATCAAATCATTTATTTATTATTTTAAGGTGGTGGCAGATTGTCTAGGCTCACCTTTACAAAAAGAAAGTAAAATTTAAACTTTTTGTATAGTGTCCACAAGAATTTAGATTAAAATCTGTTTAACTCATTGGGAACAGAAAAAGTACTTTTTGGAAAAAAAGGAGAGAATCAGAGAAAAAAAGATTTTATATCATAACTTTGCTTTTTGAATAATATTTTATCTGTGCAGAATAAATGAGTTGACTTATTTTTATCAAATCCCACAAGGCAAATTCTCTCAGCTTCATTAGAAAAAAACAGTAAACAGAATGGATTTAATATTTTTAGCACATCATCATCTTGTAAAAGAGCTTTCATTGTGTTGTAGGAAAAAAATACATGTAGCCCATGTGTCATGTTCAGTTAGTGGTTCTGTCTGTTTAAGCTTGTGGGATGCTTCTCCTGTAGCAAATGCCACGTGCAGTAAGAAATGGACCAAACTATCATGATTAGTCAGAAAGCTATTCTTTAAGATCATAAAATGTTGGGGACTTATCCTCAAAGCATTCTCAAGGCTTGTCCGTTGACTATGCTTTTCTGAAACCTCATTCCTTGCTGTGATGTGGCAGAAGGGAATTGTAGTATTATTAATATTTAACAGCAGGTTAAGGAGAAGGCTAAAAGGGGCTGAAAAACTCATGCCTTGTCATCTGGGTAAATAAGCAGTTGGGATAAGAATTAGCAGTTAGAGGATGAGCTTAGCTTCATCCTGTCTCTGTACTTTTGCTCTCTTTGTCAATCTGTCAGCCATGCTTTCATTCTGAAAACCATTGCTGAACACTTACTAACATGCCCAGCTCTGTACTGGTCTCTAAGGATATAGCAAAGAGCAAGACAAAACGCCCATCTTTGTGGAGCTTAGCATTTAGTAGAGAAGACATGTTCTTAATTAACCAACTTACGGTAGAGGGTCTAGATGTGCCTACCCCATCTAGTTGTCATGCACCTCCAATGTCCGTATCTTTTTCCCTCTCTCTGTCTGGGAGTATGGAAACTAAGAGTGAGGGGTGTAGGATCAGAAGACATAACTTTCTTCTTGTGTTCTCTGAATTATGTACTTTTGGGAGTAGAGAATTCACTTATCAATTTAATGTTAAAGATTTATTTTTTATTTCTAAATTCAGGTTACAATTAGTATTATAATACTATCTCATAAATTGCATAACATTTTAAGTTTGCAAAATACTTTCACAATCATTCCTTCATTGGAGTCTTAAAATAATACTGTGAGGTGAGTGACTCATTTTACGGAGGAGAAAACCAAGGCTTCTGGAGGCTAAGCTACTTGGATTATCAGTGGCAGAACTAAAACTTGAACTCTTCTGCCTGATTCATAATGGTTATTGTCACATACTAGATTTAAACCTGTCTTTGCCCCAATGATGCTTCACAGACCATCTGTTATGGTAGGAAAATGTTAAAAATCATAGTTTGTTATGTTATTTTAGTAAGTCATAGAGGCAGTGGCAGTTACAGAGGCAGTGATTAGATTTTATAGTAGCCATTTTTAGGAATTACGCTACAAGTTGCACACAAGAATCTTCAAACTCAAGAATACATTTGCCAAGTGGATTCCTAGAAGCTGCTTGTTTTTGATTCTTTTGCCAACACCAATGATGGGTGGCTGGAGTTCTGCAAGAGGGAGAATAACAAAATGTCAGGAGAGTACTTGAGCTAGGACCCCGAGATACCCACACAAGTCAGAGTTCTATGAGGCAAAACAGGTTAAAACTGTGAGGACAGTAAAAGAAAGTATAAAAGTGTAAGGATGCATTGGTTTTCTAAGAGAAGTACAATGGAGCAATGGAGATGCAACTAAAAGAGGAGCAATGTGCAATATGCATGTCCTCAATTACTGCCTCCTCATTTGCATATAGTGCTCACCACATCCCATGAGCACAAGATGCCCCATGAGCACAGAATATCCATGGAAACAGGGTGCCAATAAAAATAAGGTGCCCATGAACACAGGATGCTCCATGAGCCCAGGGTGCCCCATGAGCACAGGATACAATGACCACAGGGTGCCTGTGAACATAGGATTCTATGAGTGCAGGATACTGCATGAGCACAGGGTGCCCGTGATTACAGAGCCCATGGGAGATAAGTGAGACTCAAAGTGAGTACAAGATAAGTATGTTACATCTATGATTGAGTAAATGGAGGGCATGATAATCCTAGTAAGTCACGCTTTCTGTTCTAACCAGAACTTGCTGTGAACACAGAAAGAAGGCAATGGAGTTCTAAGAAACACAAAATGTCCAAGGATTTGACTCCTGTACCTCCCTGCACTAGCCAACCACTTAGGTTGGAAGTGAAAGCACAGAAGCAAGAGATGGCAACTCATAGTTCCTTATTGTTTCCACCTTCCTTTCTTATGAGTGAGCCAGTGGTACAGAGTTGAGGCAGTAATATGTGCGTGTATAAACAACTGAAAGAAAAACAGTGGATTTCATTTTGTGCAGCTTTCCCACTCTTCTGGCAAGAGCAAAATACATATGCTTTCATGATATACAAATAGCTTAATGTTGGGGACTCTACATATGAGTTAAATGCTCTTGTATTTGCATTTAAAGTTGGCATTGCACAGTGTAAAGATGACTGGTAAAATTGAAGCTAGTAATTTGAATTTTTAATTTTTCTTTCTTAGAATGACATTACATATCAAATAGAAAACATCATGACAAAATCAGAGAAAGGCCATGCAAGAAAGAAAAAGTTCTATATTTGAATACTTTTAATGACACTTTTCCTCTGCTTCTGGAACAGGGGTTCCTGCGTTAAAGAAACTGAGCTCACGATTAATGTAATCGGGCCTCCTGCTCCCTGAAGACAGAGAAATCTTCAGCCACAGGGCAGGTCTGAAAAGATCAGGAAGAGCCTGGACATAAAGATTTTGTGTTTGGGTCAAACTAGAAGATGCTCATCAAGGAGAGGTCCAGACAAGTGCTTCTGGATCTGGGTATGGGGAGGGACAGTCCAGCTCATGTTGATACAGATGCTAACTGGCCTCAGAGGCATGTGATTTCCAGTTAGTGTCAGAGTCTGGCTCAGAATGGCTCCCAACAAGTTAGGCTTCCTAATTTTCTGCCCTTTGGATAGTTTCTGTGAGGACCCCAAAAGGAAAGGGACCTGGAAGAGGAAATGGCAAGTGCCAGGAGCTGAAAGAACTAGTTGGCTGTGAGGTGCAGTGTATGAGCCAAGGAGCTTCTGACATCCTATCAGTTTCTCACACTTTTATGCACTTGAGCTATAAACGCTTGAGGTCAGCCAAATCATGTTTGTGAATTTTCAAGTAACACAGGGAAAAATTCCTCTTTGTACCAGATATCTAAGTTATGAAAGATCATGAGCACTTTCCTATGCCAACCCTGAGGTACATGGGTACAATGAATGGGAAGCAAAGATGTTACTGGAGATTGGATCTGCACTCCATCTGGGCAGCAGCTGAAAAGCATTATCACTAAATGCATCTAAACCTCATAGTTGTCTCTGCCCACATCTGGTGAATAGAGTGAGATTAATATGCA